TAACTAAGTACAAGTTGTTTGCGGACACAACTCATTTGTTATGTCTAAGAATTATGAAGAGGGTCGAAAAGGAGAAGGAATTGTCTAGGCTGTGTACTACTAGACAAACCTTAGATTTAAAGTGTGAAGTGAGAATGGGGTATGTAGGGTACATACTAGACCTCATTTATAAGACTTGCACCTGTGGTTACTGGGCATTGAGTGGTCTGTCGTGTTGCCAGGTTGTGTCGGCAAGTGTGGAATCCCTTATCTAGATGGTAGACAAGCTTGTCCCAAGGCTACGTGTCTTATAGTACACCCTCCCAAGCAAAGAGTTACACCGAGAAGACCAAAGAAGAACAGAAGGAATGCTGCTCACGAGCAATAAACTCGACCACAAAGGAATGACATAGGTGAGGAAGTTACAAAAAGGGGTACTAATATTCATTCCACCAAGTGTGGTATTGAAGGGCATAATGCAAGATCATGTAAATCTCATACTACTACCGAGGGACAGGTGAAAATGAATTGTACTTGGTTTTTTTACATTACATCTTTAAAGCTTTCTAACATCATTTTTCATAGGGCGATACATCTCCTATTCATACATGTGATCTCAAATCATATGGAAATAGCAACCCACGGTAACTCTAGATATCAGGGATCTCAATATTGATACCTTCTTGGTTACCTTTAGCAATGACCATGATAACCTTCACTCTCTTACCGAAGGTCCATGGGTGACACTGGACCCTACCTAATCATGCACCAATAGATGCCAACTTTTCGCACTTAAAACAAGCCACATTGACCTGTTATAGCATGGGTTCAATTACTAGAGTTGTCTGTGCATTTCTAAAACTGAGAGGTCCTCTTTGCTCTTAGAAATCTTTTTTTGTTGAATAGTGAATCTAGACTACCACACTGAACACCTAGAACAAGGCAAATTTTCTTGAATTGCGGTGGAGCTTGATATGACGAAGTCGTTGGCCACTTGGATTTTCCTGGATGGATTCTGGAAGAAATTATTCTACGAGAACCTCCCCCATTATGATTTGATAGTGACCGAATAGGCCATTTGGAAGAATCATGCCCATAGAATAATCCAATGATCGGACTCGCGATGGACTATAGAGGGGAAATCACTACTCTGTACCACCTGTAAAATCATTGTTGATTGGATGTGGCCCATGGATGCAGGGGTTGAGGAAACCTAAGAAATAGGGACGAAAGCAACCCACAAATCATGGTAGCATTTTTGGAAATGGGTTTATTTGATATTGGTTTCACAGGTCATAAATTTACTTGGGTTTACGAAGTTTCCGAACACTACTATAACCCAACTCCCAAGGCTTTGTTCAGATGACCATCCTATCCTCATATGTAACCAGGCAAATCAGACTCTTCATTACCAAGACATACAATTCCTCTTTCTAGTACCTTGGCTTGGTCATCAAGATTTTAGACGACCCATGGAGAACTCATGGCAGTAAGGGAAAAAGATATCCTCATTTATGTAGAGAACCTACAGGAAAAAATCAAGTTGTGGAACAGAGAGGTGTATGGCAATATTTTCACAATGAAGACCACCTTATCAAAGTAACTGACTAAGTTGGAATCCAAAATTAATCCTCTAGATCTCTCCAATAAGAAAACAAAGTGAGAGAACAATTAGAGAAAACACTTTGGCAAGAACAAATTTTATGGCTGCAAAAAGCTCAGGCTAACTAGATTACCAATGGTGACAAAAACATAAAGTTCTTCCATAACTCCACATTGACTCGAAGCATACGGAACAAGGTTATCTGATTGTAATGTGAAGTTGGTGCATGTGTAGAGGATCACGATCAATTACAACAAATGGTCATCAAATATTTTGTTAAACTCTACACGTCTGAAGGTGATTTCCATGACTCCATTTCGACATGGCCCCCAACTTTCAGGTGAAGTGGTGGCAGACTTGCTGCACTCCTTCCATGAAGGAGATAAATCAAGTAACTAAAGACATGGGCGGCCCTAAAGCACCAAGGAAATATGCTTTCATGCTACTTTTATATATAAAAAAATGTTGGGAGAAATTAAGCAGCAAATTCATGAATGGAATTGCTTGAGTACTTAGAGAGAAGAATGAAGGAATTGGCCAACGAGGCAGTGTACCCATCGAGCAATTCCTTCCTATACAAGCTCCTCCAAAATTCACAATCTACCATAAAACCTGAAAGATCGAATGGCAGTTGCTAGCTTATCGATGACCGAGAGACAAAGGCAAGGGAGCAGCTGATTGCTTATCTATGGCTGATATCTATTCTTTTATTCTTCTTAAAGGGGCTCTACTTCACACTCACATAGGTAATTTGTAAACTTGTACTATGAAAATACACCATTTGATCACATCAGATATCAAACTTAGAAACCATTAAAAACCTTTCATGTTTAGATTTACCCTTATTGTTTGACATTGTCTCGTCACGAGAATGAATTTTGAATAATTATACAGTGTACAATCATTTACGAATTTGTATTCTCCTTGAACCTAGAGGTTGAGTTCACCAATCCTACTTAGGTAGAGTAATCGCTATGATGATTTGTCTGAGGGCACATGTCCATTCCTTTTTATGCTTTATTTAATCTCTAGGTGGGCCCCCTATATTGTTATCATGTGATGTAATATGATCAACTCACATAACTTTGCATATAAATTAATTGTCAAATATTTTTACGTTTCCATTATCTATAACGAGATTTTCACATAAAACTTATAGACATTGCAATAAAATCTTTGTACCTTTACAAAGTGTGTTTAGCGACACTAGTTTTGTCGGCCAGACTATTTAACTTCACGGATCTTAGAGTGAGTATTATATATCAACTTGGATGTTTTCCAACATACTACTTCTTTAAACATTAGTGCATATCCATTTATGGGTTCTTTCTTTTTCGTTCATCCGGTAGATTTACACAAAAGACTCGTCTCTTCAATTCGTTACACATCTTTTGATTTTTATTTGGTATTAGTGTGCAATAATATTAACACATGACTATGGTATTGAAGTTTCTCTACTTCATTAGCCTTATAATACTTGAACTTTACAAATATATTTTTGAATGTAGCGAGATTTTTTATTTAGCTTAGGGTTTAGGTTAAAACTACAAGTTTCCAGATCATTCCCTTGGAAATCATTATTTGCTAATAAGGCGCATATCCTCATTACTAACGTCATAGGCCACACAAGTTTATCTCAGACTTAACCAACTTACATAGTTGAGTCTTTCCTTAGACTCATTCAGAAGGATATTCAACCAAGTGCCAAGTAAAGTCCATATTTGGAATCAACCAACGACATTCCACGTTGTTTCTTCCCAATATATCCCCCACATTAAACTATTTTGCTTTAGTTGTTGATAAATCCAACATTTTTCATATAAGGAATGTTGTTCATTGATAGGTGCATAATTATACATAACCTTTCTCTTATAACTTGGTCGTTTCTTGGTTGTTTGATTTGGAAAACCTTATATAAGCGATTCTATGCTAGGTTGGTTGTTGATGTCATATTTTAAGTCCTAGTGTGTGGATGAGGCTTATGATCGAGTTTTAGGACGATTAGAGGTCAGAACGAGACAAGACAAGAAGCAAGAGCAATGTCATGCCAAAAACAGAAATGTCACAAAGTGTATAGGTGAACTATAAAAAAACTATAACATTCCTTATGATTGTTATGGAAATGTTCACACATACTATATTTCTTGTAACACAAGTAACATAAAACATCATGAATCATGCAAGTACATGCAATCGTTCTAACTGATAGAATCAACTTTTGTTCTTAAGGAATTTAATTCTTCTCTAATACCTGAAACACTCTAAACTACACTCATAATCAATGACCAACTATAACCAAAGACTGGGTGCAATGTTGTAGAAGTAAGTAATACAATATCGATCCCTAGGGTCTATAGGTGTACTATTACTCCGCTTAGGTTTGTTATCTAGCAAAACAAAATTTGAGTTTAAGGTTAGACTACTAATTACAATTGAGAGCTCACTCATATGTTTGATTCCACGTAACAACTAAGTCGATTGATGATTAATGATCCTCTAAATTCTTACACTTTTCATTCATAATATTGATTAAAGCATAATTGAACATCAAAACATGAATATATTGTATATAAACTCGAGTTTAGGAAGAAAGAGTACCCATAGAAGCATCATTTTGACATACACAATCATCACAAGTGCACTTCGGTCCATAAGATAAGCACTTGATGACTTTGCTAATTAAGTATTTTGACCGGTTGGCCACAACACGTGAGACCTCTCACTCAAAATTTAGAGCAACTTTTTGCAAATCATTTTGAGTGCACAAGGGTGAGAGTTATCGACATTGCACAAATTAAATATCCTAAAAGTACTATTCAACAATTCAATCAATACAATACAATATAAAATGGATGGGAGACCTCCCATGGACCAACATCCACATAGCGCTACACTAGCCTCCATAGAGTGCACACTATCATGGAGACTAACAATTAAAACCACACTAACATACCGTTTGGTATAAATGAATTCCATAAGTTTTGAGTAATTCATTTTGAAATGCAGTATTTTTGTGTTTGGTATTTAAAAGAAGGGATAATACCACTACAACATCCGAACTATTCGAAAAATGCAACTTGTGTCCTATTCTTTTCAATATTCCATTTATGTCCTTTCGTATGTTCTTTTTTGTCATTTGTGTCATCTCGATTTCGTTGACCGTTAAAGATAACGGTTGACCAAATGGAGGTCGAACTGTTGTTGACTTCTGCTGACGTGGCAAACTATGTAACATCCACATAGGCGTCATGTCATTGCCACATCCTTTTTACTGAAAATTATAATCAAATTAAATTATGAAAATAAAAAATTATTACTTTTAAATTCAACAATATTACTAAACAATATTTTGAGCTGTTGCTCAAGCTTCTTGTCAGATCGAAAAAAAATCCAGAAAATTTTCGTCTGCTTCTTCATCTCACCACCACGTCAATCTCTGAATCTCCCGCAGATGCGCGCAAGTTTGGTCACTTGATGAGAGTGAGAATCTCTTGTAGGCGAGATCAGTGATGTTTTTCGATGAGCTGGCGCAACAGCATCTCAGATCCACATCTGCATCTCCGATCGTCCTCCTTGAATCGATCCGCAACTAAAAAAATTCGATCTGCAAATGCATCAATGTCGATGACAGTGTAACAAAAGATTTCATCCTCACTTCACTTGCAGAGCTTTAGCTTCTTGAAAAACGAAGCAACTTTGGATTTAGGGTAAGGCTTGGTAGAAATGCAGGTGGGAATGTTCTCCGGCTATTCAATCCACAGCTTATGAACAACCCGTCCACCCTTCAGCTTCTCCGCGAGATTCAAATATGAGTCTCTCCTTTCACCTCCAACGTCACCTACCAGTACAAGATAGAAAAATCTCTCCCCGTTACAGATCGAAAGCCCTAAAAAATCCTGAAAGAAGAAACAGAATTCAGTAGCCATTGTTATAACTAGCGCACCTTGTGCATAGAATCGATGTTCTCCGGCCCGCAGTATCGCACCGTGTGCGCGTCGTCCCTGTGAGCCCAGATGGCCGCCACGGCGACGTGACATCCCTGAGTCACTGCCGCCGCCAATGGGCTTCTCGTTCTTCGCCAGATCTGAATCCACCATCTCTTTGACAACGACGAACACGGGAGAAGATCTGGAGCTCTCTGGCCGCCGATCGGATAAGGAGCAGTGGGTGGACGCGAACGGTGACTTCCAACGGAGCCGTCGATCTGGAGCTCGGAGAGGGAAGGGGATTGAATCTGTCGAATTTATTTAATAAATAAAAATTAAATTTCAATTCCACGTCCAATGCCACGTCAACGCTGACTGGATTTTTCTGTTAAATATTAACGGTCAATATTGGTCAACACTAACAGAAAAATAGTTCAGGATAGAAATGGAATATTGGAAAGAATAGGACACAAGTGGCATTTTCGAATAGTTTAGGTGTTATAGTGGTTTTAGCCCTTAAAAGAATTCAGTTTTAATTCTAAAATTTTGAATTCTATGGAATTGGTACTAGTTATAGCAATTCCGATGAATTGAGATGGAATTTCCAAATGAATTCCACAACTATTTACTAATTATAACATAATGACATAATTATCCTCTCTATTAACTAAATTACTTATATATATTATATACCAAACGCAGGAATTCATTTGACAATGAATTCTACAAGACAATTCATTTTCTTTTCTAAGATTTGAATATGACATACAGAACAACATCTCATTTGACAATGAATTCTTCCAGTAATTCATTTTACAATGAAATGAATTTTTGATTCAATTTACACATTAATTCTAAAAAAGTAAATGTGTTAGACAATGTACTTGAAGCACTTAAATTTTAAAATTTTGAAAAGTGGACCAGGCTCAAGACAAACATCAATTCTCACTAGGGATGGCAATGGGTCGGGTTGGGGCGGGTTTTCTAAAACCCAAACCCAAACACATGGGTTTATCCGCCAAAAAAACCCGGGGTAAAACCCTCTGGGTTTGAGAAACTCAAACCCAACCCGACCCGCTGGGTATCCGCGGGTTCATGGGTATCCGTGGGTTTTTGTGGTAAAAATTTACAATAACAAGTTTCTTTCTTTCTCAAACCCAACCCGACCCGCTGGGTATCCGCGGGTTCATGGGTATCCGTGGGTTTTTGTGGTAAAAATTTACAATAACAAGTTTCTTTCAAAATAAAAGTTTAACATCAATTTCTCATACAAATTATTCATACAAAAAACACCAATCTAGAGCATACAAGCAAACTGCAAATGATCAATACAAATTGTTCAAAATTAAATATAACATCTATAAACAATAAGATTAATTGAAAGTTTCTTCCTCGTCAACTAAGTTTCTTCACTCTCCACTTCATACTATCAACTTCATTCTAAACAATTCGAAAGAACAAATTATACATGTTTCCACAAACATAAAGAATTTAGTTGTTTAACGAAGATATATTATTTAGAATATTAAATATACCCAGAAAGTAATTATATGTGTGTGGGCGGGTACCCATGGGCGGGTTTATCTAAACCCAAACCTGACCCGGTGAATAGTGTAGCGGGTTTAAACCCAAACCCGACCAAAACCCGTCAACACGGATTTTACCCACGTTGACCGGGTTGGGTCGGGTGGGTACCCGTGGGTTTGGGTTTTGTTGTCATCCCTAATTCTCACCATTCATTCATACCCACGTAATGACACCCCCACCCACCCACACACAACCTTAAGCACGACATTGTCATCAATGGAGGAAGGTAAGGAGATTAGAACAAGGTTACTAGATCTGTTCTGAAGGATGGTGGATGGGCAGGAATGCACACCCTATGGAGAAGAGTATCTCAAGTATCAACCTTCATGAATTCTTAGAAAGGGTTGTTTATTCACTCAAAATGCACAAAACACACAATGACATCTAAAAAAAAGCAAAAAAAAAAACAAAATCAAAGGGAAAGGGAAAGAACATGCAAAGAAAAGTGTTCAGTTAGTTCCCAACTAGCGCTTCTTACAACTTAAGCCGTATGGGGATGCACAAGTTTTGGTCTATCCCAAAACCTCAATGAAGTTGAGTTTCTCATCAATGATGTGGAGGCGCAAGTATCGAGAATTTGGTGTGACAAGTGATGATGATGGATCTTGGACTTGGTGAGATTGGAGGATCCACCCTCGAGTCCTCTTCTTCTTTCTTCTCTTTTCCCCACACCATGTAGGACATCATATATTGACTACCATCGCATCCACCAAGAGCGATAAATGATGGTGTGGCCTTGGCTTGGAAAAGAGACACCACAAATGGGTTGTTCTATAGAATTTCATCAAGGGTGAGTGGTGATCTTTGGTAGCGTGTAAGTTGTCAAAGATTCATCCATCATGACCTCATCCATTGAATGAACACCAATTGCCTCCTCGACCTCCCCTCTCTCTTCCAAGATTTGTTCGTCCAATGGAAAAAATTAAGAGCTTCCTCCTTGGTGCTCACTTCCTCCTCCTCAATCTCCTATCTCACCTTCCCATCCCCGTATTCAGGCATGAATTGTCCTTAAAAGTTTGTCTTTGGATGGGGAAAGGTGGAAAAGGCTTCAAGGATACAATCTTGATCATGCTCACCATGAGATCTCTTTGGGATGAGTCCTTCTTTCTCCACAAAATCATCATTGATCACCTCATCAACCTACTCGTCATGCACATGCTTGCTCAACAACCGCTCCTAGCTTCTCCAAGTTCTAGAGGGCCTCCTTCTATGACCATAGAAGAGGTAGATCGGGAGGGTGGTGGGTGGGAGGACCACTCTGGAGCATGCTCTTTCAAATTTCTCGGTGGAAAACTCCAATGGGCTTTTGGTATGTAGTTGTGGAGTGTCACATGGTCTTAAAGAATTTCCATTGATATATAGTTGTGAAGTGTCACAAGGTCTTAATGAACGTCCCGTGAAGGCCTCCATAGCTAACTCCAACTCAGATTTCACCTTGGGTTGTGAAAAGAAGTCTTCTTCGTATGAGGTAGCTTATTGAAACACCCTAGGGTATGATCATTTTTTATACAAGGGAGGTTCGTTTTAAAACCCAAATCCTTGGGCTCCACTATCTTCGTTGCTCCATGAACATTTGGGGTAACCCTATTCGGGTGGTGTTGGATACCCCCACATGTTGAAGACGCAATTGAATTCAAGATTCAACCTACACAAACAAAAATAAAAAACCATTCAAAGACAAAGGTGGAAAGACAACTAAGCAAAAATAGCCAATTTAACAAAGCTAAGGCTTTCCTAAAAACTAAAATTCCCTGTCAATGATGCCAAAAACTTGACTAACTTTCAACTACACCCCCAATCAACGGCCAATCATAACCAAAGACCTGTAGCTATATAATGGAAGTAAGTAATAAAAATATCGAACCCTAGGGTCTCTAGGTGTACTATTACTCCACTTCGATTTCTTATCTAGAAAATCTAAGTTTGAGTTTAAGAAACTATACTACACTAATGTTAAACTACTAATTACAATTCAGAGCTCACTCAGGTGTTTGATTCCTCCTAGCTACTAACTGGATTAATCATCCTCTAACTTGTTCGACTTGTTATACATAATGCGAAGAATTCTTGAGTATACCTTGAATCTCGATTAAAGTAATAAGGGCCTCTTGAGTCGATAGCTTAGAAGGAATTATCCTTCTTTAAAACAACAATTCAAGGCATTCTACACTATATTCTCTCTATTGGGTGAAGTCCCCGCTCAATACAAAGCATTAAATCAACTCACTCGTTATCGATCCCCTACTCCCAACCTTTGATTCTCTATTAAACCAAATAAGGTATTTTCTACCATATGTTAGTAGCAAAATCAATAATCTCGATTAAAGCATAATTGAACATCAAAACATGCATATATTGGATATGAATTTGAGTTTAGGAAGAAAGAGTACTCATACAAACATTATTTCGACATACACATAGCTATGGTTCCTCAAAACCCAAGATAAGGGAAATAACCCCATATAAAGAATGAAACTTTAGAAAATTACCCTATGCCTTCGATTCCTACTTCCAAGCTTGTTCTTCGAGATTCCTTGGTGATGAAATCACACAAAATTGCTCTTGGATCACCCTTGGGTCGGCAGCTCGCTCTAGGTTCGTCCCTTGGGTGTTTGAGAACCGAATCCCAGCCTCCTCTTCCAAAATTGTGGGAAAATCATTTATACCCAAGACCGTGAATGAGCCATTGTCGTGACACAGGCCGTGACTTGTGCAAAACTCGCTAATTTCATATTTTATTTAAATATGATTATGGATTGCCATTAAATTATCTTCAAATATGTTTTGTATATGATTAAACTCATTTTATGTTACTATTTTCACATATTTATTTAAAGCGGCTTAAAGCGGCACAATAGGTTGTACCACCGGTTGAACCATTCTATTTGCTAAACCGAAGCAACAATATAAACTCTTTTGGCAACCTTGAAGATAACTCTTATATTGGGTGGTTGAGCTCGAACCATTGCATTGGTTCGTTTAAAAAATATCCAACCACTGCTTCGATTCATATCATGGTAGTGGAGTAGGTTGGGTTATTTCAAACGCCATCTCGGTTGATTGGTTTCAATTCGATTTGGTTCGATTAGTTATACAATCAATTTGACCAATTATCAAACGATTTAATCTAAATAAATCAACCGAATCCGAGATCTCATTCCCATATCTCATCAAAGTGGTGTGTCAAGAACCATTTCTTGACTCTTTCCTTTGCACTCTCCATTCACAACATTCAAAATTCCAATAAATTTGTGTAAGAGGCCTCATTGAATCCTTCACGGGATTTTGGGGAAGGGTTTGAAAGAATCATGGAATTTGTTGATGTAGGTAGATGGTTGAGAAAGGAAGTGGGGAAGAGTAGCAAGCTGAGTTGTTTTTGCAGAAGTCATAGCGGCATCAATCCTCTACTGTCACCGGTTGTTTGAGGCAAGGGGAAGCTCATTGGAGAAAGCAACCCACTGGATTCACCAAAGAGATGGTCGTCGTTCGAAAGAGGAAAAAAGATTGTGGGTGGGAACTTTTTTGGGCCCAAATAATAGCCCTACCC